TTTATACATATATCATTTTCTTGGAGCTAGAGGACGTGTTCAGGCTAATGTACAGAATGGAGATTGACCTTGTCTCTGGGGGGAACTAAAAACTGAGGCCTTGTCTATTTAAAATGCTTTCCTGAGCCTGACTAGAGTTTAGTCAAGCAGTCTCTAGGTAGGCAAAATCAGGTAAAATCAGTTTGGTCCTTACAGTAAAAGTGGTGCTAAAAGATGATTCATCTTTCTTGTGTGAACAGCAAACTTTTGCGTGTCTTGTTGAATTCTAAAATGGGCCACAACCCCCATGAATGAGTTCAAGGCAGAAGGAATGGGTTCACTTCCAACAGGCAGAAGGTAGGTTAGACACAAGCAAGAACTCAACAACAGTTATGTTAAAAATGAATCTGTTTTCTAGGCGTTCATGTCTGTCCTGACTTTTTTCTGTATTATACTTTCAACATAGAGGAATTGTCTCAGTGGGGAAAAAGCTTATTCACAATTCCACCTCATGAAGTGTGTTTTAGCTTTCCATTTTTCTGGGTCAGGTTAAGACGCTTAGTCAGTTGGCATGAGAAGGAGAGGAAATAGATTTGGTTTTGGCTGCAGCAGAAGCCAACTGCAGCCCCTAGGCTTCCCACATCCAGATGAACCTCAGAACACCCAGAAATGAAGATCGCTTTTCCTCAGGGCAGGACTATCTTGAGCAAAGGGAGTTTCTTAGTGTCCCAGCTCCTCCAGGGTGAAAATGAAGGCAGTGGAAGTTAAGTGATTGAATTCTCCCTTTCTGTGTGGGAGATGAGTTTGATTCCCGGCCAATGCACCGCATGTCAGTGGAGGCTTGCAAGTTACTATGATGCGGGACAGGTTTCCACAGTGCTCCTAGGCTAACTAGGAAGCCAGGCCTGATGATTTACTTCCAAAATATTAGCCAGTGAAAACCTTGTGGATCATAATGATCCAAATTATAACCAGTCATGGGGATGGTACAGGACTAGGCAACATTTCATTCCACTGTGCTTGTGGCCAACCTGAGTTGGGGGTTGGCTTGACGGCAGCTAACAAGAATAAGAACAATATTTCAGATGAAAGTAACCCAAAACGCCATGCCTCTGTGTACCTTGGGGGATGTAGAAAGAAGGAGACAGCCAGTAACTATCAGACATGATTGAATGGCTGTCAGGTCAATGGGAAGGACCATGAGATTACACCCCGTTCCACTTTATCCCACTTCCGTTGGCCTCAAGCTGCTGACTGGCGTGGTGGAAGGCTCTCAGATCAAGCTCTGGGGAGATCCAACTTTGCCCTCTTCCCCTAAGGATTTCCTTGAGATTGAATTATCAAAATATTCATTTGAATTTGCAAAATGCCTTCCCTCCACATTTTTTCATCTTTCTTTTTTTAATTTAAGGTTTTTATTGTGGATTGAGTGAAAGTTTACAGGGTATATCATCAGTTTTACTTTCAACAAATCATATACCTTGTTTCATTACATTGATTATAATCCCCTCCATGTACCATCAGTTAACAGTATTTCTCTTTAGCTTTTTAAAAACCAACCAAACAAACAAAAAACCACTCAGGCATATATAATAATTTACATCTCCAAAGGGCACATTCAGCAAGTCTGCTCCTGGCCACCAGCTCTTAGTCCCTCTCTTATTAGTACATAAATCTAGAGTCCTCAGCCGCACCCCCTCTCCATGCCCCCATCTCTGCCTCCATCTCTGGCGCTGCTGCTTCCCTGGATGAGGTCCTGCATTCTACTTGTGCGTTCCTCTCTTGATGGTCCTAGGGTCCTTTTATTCTGGACTGTAAGATTAACCACTCCCCTTTTTTTGTTACAAAACTTTTACCTTTACAATTGTGACAGTCGCGATTAGTCATGATAACAATTATTCACTATTGAATCTTACGAATCTTATTCCCATCTCTTTTCACCAGACCCATCTAGACAAGATGACAGCTATTCAGTGGGGACTCTTTCTTTCCCCCATACTCTTAAACT